GATTATCTCTATTGCTAATACATGTACTTAAATAGAGCTACTAATTCCTAATTTGAGAGTACAAATAATGTACATCTCCATTACCTCCTCCTCCTCCTCCACCTCCTCCTCCTATTGCTGAAGCGCTGGACTCAATATGAGGAACTGATATCATGAAACCTTCCATCCTTAGTGAGTCCTCAAGTAACGAGACTGTGGGACGATAAGTAAGTATCTTCCACTTCTTCAGAATCTGAAATACTTGATACTCAACTGTACTGTAATTTAACCTAAAAAACACAAAGTTCATTTGTGAGTCATAAATACATACACACACAGTATAATGGAATGGTGGTAAGTTATTATGCAGGAAAGCAGTGGAGTCATTGTTAGTAAATCTTAATAAATCTTAGTAATAGTTGAATATAATTTTATACACAGAAATTTATGTAAACACAGGAAATTGATAAAGGGAGTAAGGGGCATTTTATTCAAGGGGTTATTTCGGAGCTAATTTTTGGAAAACCATGGGCTACCCATAGCCTTTGCTTTTTTTTCAAAAGCTTGCTTGTTTTTAAAACTGCTCATAACTTGAAAATTATTTATCAGAATCACCTCCAACTTTCTACACAGCATAAGGACATATATATGTATCAGAAAATGTAATAAAAATTTGATGTGATTTCAGAGCCATTTTTGGAAAAAATCATGGGCTATAGCCTTGGGTATTTTTCAGATTTTTGACATTTTCTTAAAATGGCTGTAACTTGAAAAATTGAAGTTGGAAACACTTCAAACTTTCTACACAGCATAAGGACATCAATATGTATTTTAAAATGTAATAAAAATTTGGGGTGATTTTGGAGCCATTTTTTCGAAAAACCATAGGCTATATATAGCCTTGGATATTTTTCAGAATTTTGGTATTTTCTTAAAATGGCCATAACTTGAAAAATTGAAGTCGGAATCAGCTCAAACTTTCTACATAGTATAAGGACATCAATATGTATAAAAAATGTAATAAAAATTTGGGGTGATTTCGGAGCCATTTTTTGAAAAAAAACATGGGCTATAGCCTTGGGTATTTTTCAGAATTTTGGTATTTTCTTAAAATGGCTGTAACTTGAAAAATTGAAGTCGGCATCAGCTCAAACTTTCTACATAGCATAAGGACATAAATGTGTATCAGAAAATGTGATAAAAATTTGGGGTGATTTTGGAGCCATTTTTTCAAAAAAACCATATATAGCCTTGGGTATTTTTCAGAATTTTGACATTTTCTTAAAATGGCCGTAGCTTGAAAAATTGAAGCCAGAATCAGCTCAAACTTGCTACACAGCATAAGGACATCAACATGCAATGGAAAGTGTAATAAAAATTTCGGGTAATTTTATAGCTAATATTTAGGCTTTGACCAAATTTTTTAATTAAGGAGTTATTATGTTTGCAACTCATAAGGGAATTTGATATTTTATTTATAATAAACATAAGGAGTAAAATTAGATTAGTAGGCTCATTGCAAGCAAGACGTGTATGGGAATAGAACTTCCTTTTATGGTCACAAACATGATAAATGTTTTCACATGAATGGGAACAATGGAGAAAAATGCCGGAGAAATGAGAATGAGGAGTAAAGGTACAAGGAAAAGCAGATGTTGAAAGGGTACACAAGACAAAAAATAGAGGAAAGAGAATCTTTTTTTCCATACCTCTCTGAAGCTAATTTGATTGTCGTGATCTTCATCGACTTCTTTTATCATTGCCTTCAGTCCAAGGTGGGTTTGGGGCTCTCCCAGTTTCTCCATCATCAGCTTAAGCTCCATAAAATCAATAAAACCACTCTTATCAACGTCATATCTGAAAAAGAAAGCGCCGGCATTAGTATGAATGTAAACAAGCATCCATTCATTACTTTACGAATATCTTTCTGTATTCTTTGATTTCTTGTATAGAGAACTCTTTAAACTCTGCATACACTGACTGGGAGACTTTAGCAGCCTTCACTTCTCCATCGTTTAGCTGCTGTTGCCTGTTTGTTTTATTTTATTGTGGCTATCTACACACCCACTTAGATCTAGATCTATTTGGATCATTGCATGTTCCGTAAATCCTTCTCATGTCCATGTATAAGGTAGTTTACGGAGCACGCATGTGTGATTCAAATCATAGTGCAGTTCCAAAGGCATTTTCCCCGTGTCCGCGCTGCAGCTAGATCACAAGAAAGTGAGTTGTACTGGGCCTACTAGCTTACTGCAAATGCTAGTTTTTTCCACAATGGCTGACCCAAGGTTATTAAGTGATCAAGATGATGGGGAAGGTCGGTCCATTGATTCTATTATTTTGACTAGTACAATCATTCTATTGTTTTCAGATACTCAAGCAGATACTAGTATTGATGATGGTGAAAGAGCTACTGGCATTCATGAAGCAGTTTCTGATGATATCACTGATCTATCAAAATACGACAAAAGTAACTTATTATCCAACATTTAATGTATTGGAGTGTAATTCAGTTCACTTGACAAATTGCATTTTACATCATGTTCCTTACAACTACTGTATTTCCTCAAATAAAATCCTGGGCGTCCATTTCTTAAAATGGGATTTGGACCTCCAAAATTTTTTTAAAAATAAAATAAAACTTGAGCCAAGAGTGAGATCAGAACCAAGGACCTCATGCTCAAAAACTTCAGGAAGCTCAAACCTGGTTTACACTTGCCATAAAATGCAAGATAAATGAATGCAAGATTAAATTGTTTCGTTAAATGTAAACTTAGCTGGAAGTATCTATAAGGTATCTATGTTATTTTAAGGCTAGATTTGTGTGTTTATAGTTCAATTTTATTGCTGACCCGGCATTTATTTGCACTCGGCTTTTATTTGAGGATATATAGTATCAAGAGTAAATAATACCTAAAGAGAGTATCCAACGGCTAAAGAGAGTATCCAACGGCCCCATCTCAGCTGCTGCAAGTGTGTGGATTTCTAGGAAGTCACGTTCAGGATACTTCTTACTTCTGTAAGACTGTATTATTATCAATGATAAATGTTGTTATAAAAACACATCTGTATAAACATTGATTGAAAACTACTGAAGTATGCCGAACGTGACTTCCTAGAAAATCCACACACTTGCAGCAGGCCTCAATAGGGCCTTTGGATACTCTCTGTAGGTATTATTTACTCTTGATAGTATGTACACAACCAAGAATTTTAATCTGAATCATAAATGATTTTCAATCATGACTCAGCCTGACACATTCTGTATCAGGAGTTATGAGTAGCCTGCACAGCAATCAGCCTAGCATATATGATATGATTGTGATAATCAGCCACAATACAACCACAGAATATGGTACTAGTTCAGCCAGAGCAACAGTCAATGATACCTGCCTGGGTTGTATTAAAATAGGTTATTTTCATGGTTCTTTAGTTTCTTAGCACTTTATTTTCGTGGTTGTGGGGCTTACCAAGAAATTTAACCATCCCCTTATAAACTGTCAATCACGGCAAACCACTAAATATTCGACTCATGAAAATAACCCGCTATATTGTAGCAATCAGACTTGCCTGTCAGGGATGATAATTCTTAACTGTGTACTACTGTAACAACTTGGATAAGCCTGTGGTTAATAGTACATACCCTAGTTGTAATTTGTCAAGTGTGCTGTAAAGGTTGGGACACTAAGTAACAAGCCACCATGTTATGGAATAGATGTACAGAGATGAATGGGCAAAAGGCACTATTTCTTTATTTTCTCCAAAAAACTATGCAAAATTGCAGTATGGTAAGTAGAATTATACAACAAATGTCCAGTGAACATTTCTGTGTGAATCAGTACTTACATTTAAAAGTGAAATTAGAAAAGCCACTTTTTCCCATTCAGCTCTGTACATCTATTCCACAACTCAGAATATTCAAGTGCTCAGTGGTGGAAAAGATTTATGATAATGGGAAGATGGGATTTTACTTGTACTACTGCACATGCTTAATAGAATGATGCATGCATACTGGTAATTATTGGGCGAGCTAAACAGAACGTAAACTCAAGCCCTGCTAATAAGTATTGTAATAAGTCAGAAATTAGATTACTAGACAAATTAATGGGTGCATGGGAAAGGGATACAATTGGAAAGGATTGTGCAACCAAGGATTTTGCATTCACCTTGTTTGAATTTGCTTTTGTAGGCATGTCTACAATGAAGCATATCTTGACGAATGAAGGAACTTCATCAGACATTCATCTGCTTGTGGTGGGAAAAACTGGCCAGGGAAAGTCAACCTTTATTAACAGCTTGATAGAATTAGAAAAAGAGTTTGCAGAAGAGGGAGCGGAGACAGACATGTGTACCAATTCATGTTACTCTTACGTTCATCCTAAGCTGTTGCCAGGTGTCAGAGTGAGGGTTATAGACTCGCCTGGTTTGCAGGACATACATAATGATGAGCAGCTGTACATAAAAAAAATAAAGGCTCATTGTCAGGAGGTTAGCCTTGTGCTCTACTGCATGAAGATGATCGATCATAAGATTTTGAATGATGACAAGTGTGCTGTACGTAAACTGCATCAGGCATTTGGTCCCAGTTTTTTTAAGAGAGTTCTAATTGTGCTCACTTTTGCTAACAAAGAAGACTGTGCACAGAA